CAGTTCGAAAAAAGAGTCCCAACGCCAAATTGGACAACACGAGAGTCCGCGTGAGGGCTCTCAAACAATCACCTGGCCCTCTCCACTCTCCGAAATGCGTGGAGATGAGCAAGGTCTCTACGGAAGGGAAGGAAAAAGCTCTCCCTGCCGTCATTGAGCCTGATACTGACATGATCGGGTCAATTGAAATTGTTGACGAAATCCCTCAACCACCCTCATCACTCATGGGATTGGGAAATCATCCATATCTCCTCCGACCGCGTCGATACCGTCGGAGAACGCTGCACCCGAAGCACCGCCAAGAGCTGCCACGAAAGCAGAATGTCCTCCCGAGCTTCGACCAATTGTCGAAGCTGAACAACGACGCGCCGCCGAAACAGCGGCAAATCTGGCTCTCTGCTCCGCTGCCATCTCTGGCGTCGAAGCCAACCTTCTCCCTTTGACCAATGGGTCAAATAGACAATTCGTAGACTCCATGAGAGTCTACCTACGCGCCGCCATCGCGCAATACATGGCCACGGGCCCGGCCACCACGCCACCCGTCCTCCCTCCTCGCCCGGCGAACTCGATCCCAAGGGCTCCCGACGCCAGGAGCACAACGATTCCCGCCGTCCCAGCGCTCCCCGTAAAAAGCATCTGGGCTACGGTGGCCAGAAACGGACTGCGACAGAAAGCTGTCCCAACTGCAAAGGCTGTGCCGCAACCTGCGGCAAAGGCCCCAAAGAAAGATGCCCCAAAGGCGAAAGTCGACAAACGACTGTTCCTTCGCCTAGAAAAGGAGCACCCGTGGCGCCAGCTTTTGCCTGCTTGCCTACGGCAATAACTACAGAGTGAGCTAGGTTGCTTCTTGAGTGACGCCTGCTCTATACACCGTGTCAGAACCAGCTTTGCGATTATGACAGGGAATGAAAATAAAAGGGAAGAGCTCCTAGATGCCGCACCAAAGTTTTCGGACTTCGACGCCAAGCTCGAGGAGACCTCCAACTTTGTCGCCTTTCGGATCGCGAATGTTCCGATGACCGTAAGAACAATCGACTGTATTCATACGATCGATGCGGACTGGACCATATATGAGATATACAGGAAAACACAGCAGTTTCCAACCCAGGTGCCACCGCACGGGACATGCCTTCCTTGAGCGCCGTACAGAAATTGGCATGCCCTCTTCGACCGGGACTCCGCCCCTCGTGCGGGCTTCCGCATTCTCGACGAGTCCGGAGCGGCTACAAAGGTTCAGCCTCGCCGCCAAATTGAAGAGTTTAAACGCTGTTTGGGCTTCCACGCCACTCGTGGCTGCTCCCGCGCTCCAGCCTGCTGGAACTGCGGATCTAACATGCACTCGGAAGCCGAGTGCAAGGACCTCACTAAGTGTCGCAACTGTGGGGGACCTCACCGATCGGATTCTCGGGCCTGCCAAGTCAGACCTGAAAAATCCGGACCGGTGACAAAAGAGCAGCTCGCATGGATCTGCCACATCGAACAAGGGGAGTTATTAAAGGTGGCTAGAGCTAGGGCTGCAGCAAAAAGGCCGCAGAGGCGATCATCGCCGCTACGAAGGATGTCTCGATGGCCGAGGCAACAGGTTTCGAAGCTCTGGAAGCTGAAGAGGAAGTTTGAGGAAATAGCAACCTCGAGGATGCCCCTTTTGTGGCATCTACTAAACAATAGCAGGATACTGGCTGGATCAAAGGTGTCTGCTAGCCTATTTTTTGCTCTCAGCGGAGAATGGGCGAGTTTGTCATCTGGAAGGTGTGACGGACGAGTGAATGTGTGAGGAGCGCATTGGCTGGGTCCAATATGGAGGAATCTTCTGTTTTTCTCGGAGTTGTTTTGATTTTCTAGATTTTTCGTTTCTGTTTAATCAGCTGCACTTTTGGTAGCGATCCACGAGGTTGGAACGAGTTTAGGCTGTAGGAAAAGGTATAGGGAACCCCGCCGGTCCTTGACCCAATGTGGATAAAGAGCGTTAGCTTAGGACCGAAAGTGTGAAAAAAAACAGCCACTGATTCTTAACATCAGTATCAATTCATCCTCTATTCTAGCAAACAATGTCTCTCCAAAAGTCTGCTTCAGAAACTAAAGTTTGCAAGCATCCAACTCGCAATCAATATATTGAAATAAGAGCATTAAGAAGACTTGGCTTGACATTACAACATATATCCGACGAATTTGGCTTCATAATAAGGCAAGTGCAATTTGCGTTTGCTCGAGAGACTGAGAATCCTCTACCTCGAAAAGGTCACTCGCCCAAATCAAGCGCGGAACAAGTCGATGAGCTTGAGTCTTTCGTCCGGGAATCTCCTGAAAATCGACTGATGTGCTATTTGGAACTAGCCATGGGGCCCTTCAGCCACTGGGGATGCGATGAGCATTAACTTTCAAATGCCCTCAATAAAATGGGTTACAGCAGATGCAATGCTCGGAAGAAGCCTCCGTTCAGTGAGGTTAACATGCACAAAAGATGTGTAGCGGTGATAAAGGAAAATGGAGGGTACACAAAGTATTAGGATGGAGCAGACTAACACAAAAAATGTAGTACGCTTTCATTTTAGTAGCGAACCATACTGAGGGCTTCAATGTTGACTTTCGTAATACAGAGCAATTATTTTTGAAATAGATGTGTATTTTTAGATAATATCAAGTGCCTCTCTAATTTTTAATTTTAATGAGGACCACTGTACAATTCTGTTAGAGTTGAAAACCAGCCCCATTACTTAGACTTTCCCGGATTATCATTGGATAGCACCCCTTGCATCTTTGACCAGTCGACGAACTAGACATGGGCCTGCATGAAGACCAGACCAACCAAATCAATATATACAGGGGTATAGCCCCTGTCATTTGACAATTGTCCAATTGGCATCCTTAAGAGACTGTGGACTAGGCAGGTAGACACATACAAGTAGGAGCATAGTTGCAGCTATGTGTTTTTTCTTTTGCATCAGATTTTAATTGCGTATGCAGCTATCTAGCTAAATCATGGGGTGGGTAAATGAAGAAAGATTGGCTATGAGCGGAGAAGTAACTACTGCGAGATCTATATACATGGGGTGTAGGTGTTTGCTGAGTAATGCCAAGACTAGATTGGCATTTATGTCACGTGTAGGTGTTAGATGTTCAAGCACCTACACTGCCTTGCTCATGGCATGTATAGTGCCCTGAGGGTGTAATTAGCTATGACACAATATCAAAGAAATGTACAGAATAGATGATTCAACGTAAGGGAAGAGCACTCATGCCTCAGATTTCATTTGCAAGTACCACTGCGAAGTTATGGCGGCTTTTTCTTCACCCCAAGTCAACCCTCATCCGTGAATACCCACCCAGGGGAACGTCTCAAAAACCCTGAGTTATCCAGACATGCCTCCGTCATCCATCAACTTTTCTCCGCGCGAAATATGATCTGAGATGTCTCCTTCCCAAGTGGAGTAGGTGCCCAGGCTACTCAAACCATACCAGAGAACACCACCAAGAGGCGGACCACAACACCTTCCATCGTTTGCTTGTGTTTATAGTGTCAGCTGCACTCTCGCAAGCGAAGTCTTGGCGCGCACAAAGCTCAATTCGTAAAACTCCTTGCCAAAATTCGGAATCTCACGCCCTTCGAGGTTATATACTTCCTCCGCATCATCTTGTCGACTTGTCCTGATTCCTCTCACGTCCATCCCAAAGAACTGTCTCCCAGATTTGTGCGCCACGCTTTGCTTCCTCCGTCGGGTATAAATATCAGCGTGGGCGTGTATTTGGTGACCAGCTGAGGCCAGAGAAGGTCGAAGAGTGGTGTGGTCATTGGAATGAGGATGTACTAGGTCGTACTTGTAGACTTGATGAAGCTTTGATGAGAATCGGACTCTTTGGGAGTGAAAGATTGACATGGTAGAGTAATTTGAAATTTTGCCTCGTGGGCCAACATCTTTGATAGTGCGAAATTTGTCTGAACTTGGCTCTGGGAGAATATTTCACTCCCAGGTTCGTAGAGGACACCGCGTACAGGTGTTCAGTCTTGCCCTCCCCCTCAGTCATTGAGGTTGTAGAGCGCACTGATTCACGAAACTACCGAAGTGAAACTAAGTTCAGGATTTACAGTCACCTGTGTACCATTAATGTGGCCTATTTGATAGCCCCAATTATTCTAAATTTTGACATGACTTTTAATATTCCGTCTTCGTCGAAACTGACTCGACCTCTGCAGATTAATAGCTTCGCAAATCTAACCCCGCCCCTTTTTGCGTTTGCCAATATTTTAGTTTGGGCTCGCTGGCCACTACAAAGTCCCATTCAGCTGCTTGCCTTGGTCGATCCTCAAGGATCGTGACTGAGGACCGTCATCTGCATTGGCGCATTTACAGTGGGCTGTACCAATGGCGAAGCTCGGGTTGATTTGACGGTACGGGCGAGTCTGGTAGAGATCAGTAATGAATAAAGCAAGAGGATTGCTCCTGGTGACTTGTCAACTTGAGCCGTGTAAGGTGGCCAAGCGCGGAAAAGGGTGGAATGGAGAATAAAAGTGAATTAACACCAAAATAATCTTTCATCTTACGAAAAATTATGGACTACAAAGTGTATCCATGTAGCTTTCTCGGCCGAATAAAGATTGTCTCCTTTGGAAATGACTGTCGCCCTAGTCCATTGATGATTCAATAGAGACCGTTTGAGCCGAGCTTGAGTAATTTCGACGTTGGAAGGAATGTGGCACTACATATTGCAAGGAAGCTACAGGATCTAGTAATTCTGAATGGTTATATTGATATATTCATATCTACACCTCTTCAAAGACTACAAGTACAGAGACTCATCCCTAATTGTAAAAATCATACGAATTTTCACCAATATCACCTTGATACTCATCAACAGATCCATCAGCGTGGAAAACAAGGCCAATCTCACCAGCGATATCCACTTCACCCGGAGTCAAGCCATAAATTGTGTGTCGTTGAAAGTATCAAACATCTCACAGTCACTTGTGCATAGTCCAGTTTCGTGCGGAAGAAATCCTCGAAATGAAGTTTCTTGTTACAGCTTCTACGTCCGCATTAAGTTGCCTTTTTCTCCTAGTGCCTGCTGCGCTTGGAGAGAATGTTTTTTATTGTCAAGATATGGATTATATGTCAGTAGAAGAAGCTGACAGTTTCGCAAGTCAAGCTGTTCCGGATCAAATATATCAGAGCGACCCTGTATCCCGAGGTGATGTAGTACTTGAGGCATATCATTTTAGCAGGACAAATGCGAATAACGGTTAGATTACCTTTTTCTGCGACTATATTGTCACTAACTCTTCTTCAACAACACTAGAACCTGGTTACTACTTAATCCAAGTTGTTAATGAACATCGAGTGCTTGTACTGTGGAAATATCTCCAAAAAAAATGGAGCCCATGTCCTCTACTTATAAACGAACCTTGATTATGTGGCATAAATGGTCCGCAATGAGGCAGTATTTGGTGTTGGAAATTCGCGCAGAACACTTGATGAAATAGATTCATGACATTTTTCCAAAGAAATTTCTAGATAACAATACTGTCATCCACTGCTCAACACTGCTGATCTTCCCATGACCTGTGACTCGAAATTTGGCAACAATCGATCGACCTGGTTAACAATCACACCGAGATCAATTGTCTATGTTATAACGTGCTTGGTATTTGGCGACTACTGTAAACTCGAGGAGCACGCTACCCACCACCAAGCTTCTTTTTGTAGGTTAACGTGTTGGGTGACATGATCTATGCATTTCCCCATGCAGCTTCTTGAAATGAGCTCTGTCTTCTCTAACACTCAAAGGCCTCGGTACTACAAGCGTCATTTTGAAAGATTCTCTTGTTTTTGTAACATACTTTCCGGGAGTGCCAGATATGAAGGTCTCGGCACTCTATAATCCTGTGGGTTCTATGGAAACTGAGTTTGATTGTTTGTAATTTTAGCGTGTCAAGCACAAGCCCTGCATTTTATTTGACATGACACGCCTACTTGATCCCAAGAGACTTATTCTTACCAAGATAATTGCTGCAAAGAAACCAGAATAAAGTGAAAAAAAACTCCGCCTTCGAGGTTTTTTATATTTTTTATTACGAATAGGTCCTAATCTTAAGCCCTTTATCCACTACGGGTGAAGGAACGAAGGAGAGGGCAAGGTTGAACACCTGTACGCCGTGTCCTCTACGAACCTGGGGGTGAAATATTCTCCCAGAGCCGAGATTCAGTCACGATAAAAGGTGGGATGAATTTTTTTGGTGGACTTTCGACTTGAAGGAGTTGCACTCAATATTTTGGTCGAAAAATCAGTCGGCAGAGATTTCACGACTGCACAAATCTTTTAAATCAACCATCTACACCCCAGATACGGACCGCAGATAGGCTATAAGTGTTTTACTTGGTCTATGAAATGGGGAACATACACTTGCTGTAACTGCTGCGATATTGGAGGTGGAAGAGTGAGTGTGATGAATAGATGTGAGTGTGCTTCATTCAGTAATTACCGCAGAAATGTCTATGAAGTTATATTTCGTAAGCTCGTTTACTGACCAATCACAAGGCTTGCTAAGCTTTCCTTATGTTATCTATCACAGCCAAGCAAACCCACCAAACCACTTCATGTGCCCTGTCCAGCCTTGCGCCTCATCGGACGACAGCCTTGCTACCCAAGCGTCACGTGTCATGCTTTGCGTCAATTATGGCTGAGCACAACAATAACCTGTCTGATGTATGTATTACAACAACCGACACCTTCAAGGTCTTGTTTTCTTTTTCTCTGGAAAATCATTCCCAGCCAAACTCATCTCGCGGCCCTCTCCACAACCATCTCACCACCTACCGAAGCAATCCCACACCTCCAAAAGTCCAATCGCCATCAAAGAAGCAAGAGAATGTCCGAGCCTACGCAACTGCCAGTCGCTGTGAAGTTACGGTCGAAATACTGGCCTTAGATGCGTCCTCACCTCGGCCAAGGGCACCAACAACTCGACCTGCGACGAATCGCCACAGACGAAATACGTACGACATTTCGCCGGCACACCAACTAGAGCGTTCGATAAAGGCTGGGGCACCGGTGCCTCGGTCTTGAGCTCTCAGTCGCGTTTTCGACCTCCACGGTTAGGGGGACGGCAGCGACGGGGCAAGGCCGGAGGGGTGGACATTCTACAAAGTTTCTGGGATGACGAGGTCGGCTGAAGGATAGAGCAATGCTATATGAAGGAACAAAAGGGAATAAAAACTGAGGAGGCCTTGGTGGGCGACTGGATGAGGCCTCCAGTGAAGAAAATGACCTCTGCATGAGATGAGGAGATGCTGAGATGAACCAAAGCTGGGAATGAATCGAAAGGAAAAGTTATAGATGGCGAAGGTGTCAAGGGCTCGGGCGCGTGGTGGCCGAGGCTGAGGAGGAAATTGCGCTACGGCGTGTATACAGCGGGTTTCTTGACGGTTGGGCTTGACATAATTCAACACATGGGTGAAGTCTGAGGTGGTCCAGTCATTTAAGTAGGACGAGGTAGATGTACTTAATGGTAGTTAACCTGATCGAGCCTGGCCCCACTCGTGCTTAAGCTCCAGCAGGAGTGTAGCGGTAGTCACTTTACCTAGCACGTAAATGAACAAGATAAGATAAAGCACAATTTTTTGACGGCAACACCGCCATCATCCAGCGTGACTACACAAACGACGAGGCCTATTGCCTCAGCTTCCAAACCAGCCCGTCCAGATGAGCGTGTGTTCCTGCGGGTAGAGCCCGACCATCCGTGGAGACCTATGTCCCCCTACTTCATAAAAATAAGCCTTGCGAGCAAGCTGCACCCAGCTAACTCTTCAATCAAGCAAGTCACTGTCGTGAACTCGGGGTTTGCGATACAAGCAGAGGGGGATGGAGCAAGAAGCGCGCTCCTCTCAGGTGCCGCTCTCTTAGATAGAGCGGAAATGAAATTGGAAGCTGCCTCCAATTGGATCTCGGTGCTTGCATCAAATATTCCTGATAGGCTTTACACCCTTGAAGGTCCAATCCCAGTTGCAACGGAAATGGTGATTGAGGAAGCGACCCCTAAAACCGGCGTCAGACCAACCTCAGCTCGTGTTTTTACGACAAGCACGGCGAGGACATCAACTGACTGTGTCTTGCACTTTGAAACAGGAAAACCAAAACTGGGTGAAAAACTCTTCGAAGAGAGCAGTCGCCTACACGAACTCCAGCGCAAGCCCAAAATTACGCAATGTAACCGGTGTTGGGGACACCACCCCACAAAGATCTGCTCACGAGCGCAACGATGCTCACGTTGCAGCTCAATCGAGCACAGAGCTTCCGAGTGTAAACAAATAATCCCGAGGTGCATGAACTACCACGGGCCACACTCTGCGATTGAACCACACTGTATGGCAAGACCAACCCGGGTAGGTGGTAAATCTGTGCAGCGAACTAAAGACCAGCTATCGGTTATACGCGAGCAAGGTCAAAAGGAACAGAACGCTTCAATCCCAGAGATGGAAGCAAAGCAGAAAGCCACCGAGGCGACTTCCAAAAACGAAACCACTAACGTAACTCAATACCCGAAAGGAACCACAATCTTACCGAGCTCCACACAACTGCAACAAAGATCTCGTTTCTCTGCGCTAATCTCGGCAGAGGAGACCCGGCTACAGACATCATCCTACAATCCGCTTGGGATTCAGGAACCGATGTCCTACTGATCCAGGAACCCTGGACCCAACTTAACGACGGAGTATGGCTCATTAACTCGCACCCCGGTTTCGAAAATCATGTGCCTCTCCATACCGCTGCTGATACTGCAATGCCACGTTCACTTATTTACACGCGAAAAGGTATTAAGTGCCATCAGCAAGCAATCTGTGTAGCATCACCAAACTTAACCGCAGTAAATGTTGACGGTGTCACTTTTGTCTCTGTATATCGCGCTCCAGGAGTCGATCTACGGCCGCTGCTATCTTGGGTTCCTTCTGGGCCTACAGATATCGGCGGAGACTTTAATTCCTTTTACCCTGACTGGCAGCCAATGGCTTCCAGACTACACGGAGACGGTTAGGTGCTCACAGAATGGATGTGCGAGCATGGTATGGACCTATCATCTAAAACTGGCGGTCTCACACACGATCTTGGAAACACGCTCGACCTAGTGTGGTCCAACGCAGGAGCTCTTGCAGATATCTCGTTTGAGCTAGATTCGACATCGGACCACCGAACCCTTGCGGGAGAAGTTCCCCGCCAAAACTCCAAAACAAGAGCGGTCATTAAAGCCGGTCAGCCGTTCCGAGTGACCGATGACGCCCTCGAAGACTTTGCCAATGTACTGGGAAAGTGGGCAAATGGAATAGGGCAACAGCTCATTACCTCAACAAGCGAGGTCGATAACCTTGCTGATAAGCTTGTCCAGACTATTAACGATGCAATTAGGGCCACCGGCAGACGTGGGAGCGTGAAAAAAGGCAGGAAAGCGCCATGGTGGTCAATATAGTGTCGACAGGCCAAATGTGAATACAGAATTTTCAGGGACGAAGAGAGCAGGAAAGCTTTTCGACGCATAGTCAAAAGTGAAAAACGCCAATACTGGCAGCGTAAGTTCTCCATAGCCACAACCGATTTCGATATGTATCAGATAGCACGTTGCGCAAAGTCACGGCCCACACCTGCTGATCCCCCACTCCAAACTTCCAGCGACTATGTATCGGACCCAGGAAAGCGAGCACTTCTGTTGCGTGACCTTCTTCTCGGGTAGCTCACCAGCCAAAACGACATCGATGCTGATCACCTCGAGCCTGTTAGCGAAAACCTTCCTTGGCTCTCAAGCGTTACAGACGAAGAAGCCAAGTGAGTCACAACAGCCTGCCAAAACAAAGCCCCTGGATCAGATACAAATTCCGTCCAGCCCCTCAGGACAGCTTGGCCATCAATTGGCCACGTAGTGAGAGTAATTTTTGAGGGTGTGGAAATTCGAGGGACAAAAGACGATTGGCGAGTTGTCAAAAGCTGGCGTGGACTCAAATCATAAGATTCTAAACTAAAGAGAAAAATATCTAGGAGGATATGAATCTGTATATATTTACATAAGAGTTCAACTGTTGAAATAGAGTTGCCAACACGAAACCTCCTATCCCTCATTGCCTACAACCCAAGGGTTTCGCATGAAAACCAATATCCATGACAAACCTTTCGTATCGTGATTTGTCACACACAAGACTCGTGTGTGTGAAACTAGTCGTTGGAATTCCTGGATTGACCCTGTGTCGGCTTACCAACTATTGAACCGACGACCACGTGGCCAGTAAAATGTCGGGGCGTCACAGAGGGCTCACTGCGACTAAATCACTTTCCAAAAGCATTCAAGCTAGCGGAAGTAATCCTTCTCCCCAAACCCGGCCGTGATCTGAGCACAGCTAAATGATGGAGGCCCATCTCTCTACTC